GATTGTTTGATTGTATTAACTTGATTCTTTAGATATCGAAAATTAAATAAAGAACATTATGTTAATTTAAGCGTACAGAAACGTTGCTGTTGTTCCAGCAAAGATCTTATTTTCACTTTACCGAGTGTCTAGTAGATAATTTGCAGATTGCCTAGATAATCTGCACATTACCTAGGTAATTTGAGAAATAGAACAATTTTAGCAACTTTAACGCATCGCTCTAGTTAATCTGCAGATTAGCTAGGTAATATACACATTAACGACTTTCGAGCTTTAGCGGTAACATATATAAAAATGAATGTATGTCCTTCATGCTAATATTACCACACCGTTTATCCGATTGCCATGAAACTTTGGGGAATTGTTTAATATACTCCCGCGAAGGTTTCTGGCATAGTACATTTATCCTACGATAGATAGCAGGAGTGTATACGAGCATTTCATCGTGAGTTCGATCGATTTCAAATTGTGAAGACCATTTCTCCCTCCAAAAAATATCTCTATACTGTATATGCATTTGTGAACTGTTATTTACGATATTTGTAATAATTTTTGTTTAATCACTTTATTTCAACACAACGGAAAAGTCATTGTGCAATCTAGTGAGAGAAAATAAAATTCACGTATCGCCTGACGTATTCAGCGAAAAGTGCTGATATCGTTATGAAATGTGCTGATTGGTTTAACTGAAGGACATCACACTTTGCGTTGCTCTCAAGTCGAATTCTTTCCATAGACAGTTTGTACTTATTACTTAAAGCACGCTCATATTTATGAGTTTTAACCTGTTATAAACGAATTAAATTGATGCAATAATTGTTTAACAAGACAGTTCAATTAATAGAAAACTGAAAATTTCATACGTCTTTAGAAAAGGTAGGAATATAATATATTAGTTGAATATGAGCTTTATAATTAATTGCAAACACAGAACTAAATACAAATAATTTCTTTCAGAAACGATTTTTAAGACTACAGGTATACCTCGCCTTACGTCAGTAATTGGTTCCAGGAGAACGACGTTAAAATCTTCATTAAGTCCTCCGACCCCCTTCTATCTTCCCACCTTTTCGGTCTTTAACCAATAAAATTTAGTAGCATCAATGTCCCTTATATATAAATACAGGTAACAATATCAAATTTCGTTTCAATCATTGCCTCATCTTGAGATATTAGATGATTTATACGCTAACACACCCACATATATAATATCCACGGAAATTTTTCCCGTGTTTTGAATTTTTTGGGTTCATGAGGTCTCAAAACGTGTTCTGCAACAAACGCGGTGGGTCAAATTTGACACGATTTCAATACGTATTACGTATTGTAACAATAGTGGTTTGTGTTCTATGGTATGTTTTTAAAAAAATTTTTTTTAAAAAACAGTTTATCTACTCGCGTATTTTTGTACAAATTTTCTTATGTTTTATTTTTTATGTCTAGTTGGCTGAAGAGGGGCCAATGCCCGAAACGCGTAATGTAAAAGGCGTCCCAACTGAATAAATAGTCAATAAGTTGCCAAGTGTTGATATATGTCACCTTAGTGTGTCTGCAAAGAAACAGCTTAATAACAACAACACGGTTTCATCAGAATCAAACGAAATTGTTAATATAGAAACGGCAGTTATCGACCAAAAGAAAAGGAAAACATGTGTACAGTTCATTATCAAGAAAAGATACAAGTTGGCTGAAGAGGGGCCAATGCCCGAAACGCGTAATGTAAAAGGCGTCCCAACTGAATAAATAGTCAATAAGTTGCCAAGTGTTGATATATGTCACCTTAGTGTGTCTGCAAAGAAACAGCTTAATAACAACAACACGGTTTCATCAGAATCAAACGAAATTGTTAATATAGAAACGGCAGTTATCGACCAAAAGAAAAGGAAAACATGTGTACAGTTCATTATCAAGAAAAGATACAAGTTGGCTGAAGAGGGGCCAATGCCCGAAACGCGTAATGTAAAAGGCGTCCCAACTGAATAAATAGTCAATAAGTTGCCAAGTGTTGATATATGTCACCTTAGTGTGTCTGCAAAGAAACAGCTTAATAACAACAACACGGTTTCATCAGAATCAAACGNGAACTTTGGAGACATCATTAATATAAATATAATTTTTATGGACGTTAAACAATAAATGGTTTTTAGTAGGTCCACTGCTCGTTTAAACTCAACGGTTTGTACAATATCCGCTATTGGTCTAGATTCGACCAATCCTGTCGTGACACGAGTCGGCGATGACGTTTTACTGAATTATACGAGTCTCTTTTAGCATATTTATACGAATACGGTCGCAATTTTTTCGCCGTGATATAGGAATCTGAACTATACGAACCCGTGTTATAGGGAGTCGACTGTAATAGTATAACAAAATTTCATAAATAAATTTTAAATTCATTTTCCACTTTTTCGACTGTTTTGTATATAACACGGGAAAGTATTGCAATCATATTAAATTTGACCGTCTGAGTTTTTTTGCAAATCACCACGTTTTTGAAACCCCTGAACCGAAAGTCAAAAAACGGAAAATTTTCCAAGGGTTGTATGTTTGTGTATTGGCGTCTACTTCGTTTAATATGTCAGCATGGGGTAATGGGAATTTTGGCATGATAGCTTGTGTTTAGGGGATTGATATTATTAAATTTTGGTGGTTAAAGGTCATCGAGGTGGGGAGATAAAGGGATATCGTTTGTCATATCTCGGATGGAGTCGAACTTAATGAAGATTTTAATCGTTATTACCATTTACAATATTTTTAAAAACTCATCTCCACCTTCAAAATTAAGTCTTTTGCGTTTCTTTTAAAAAATTATTATTAAAACAAAGTGTAAAAGGAAAAGATTGATCATTGAAATCATCGGCGAAAAAAGAGGACAGATGCCGAATAAGCGGACATACAGACAGTACCATCGAAAAGCGGACTTTTTTTTTAAAAAGCGGGCGATTGAGATCTCTGTAATTAAAAAAGTTTACGAACAATTTTTATCGCTATAATAAAAAAGTTAGATATAGGCTTACTCTGATTACTGTTATGTAACAGCGACCAATTAGCATTCACTCAACAGTGTGACATCATAGCTTATAATCAGTCAATTTAGAAATTTAAATAATGAATAACTTATTGGCATTTTGCAGTGCAAACTTTACTTGCTTTTAACGAGCAAATGTTTATGGGCTATTGTATTATTTAATATATAAACAAAACATATTTTTATTTTTAAACATGTATAATATTGCAAATTATTGCAAAGAATTTATTGATGAACAATTGATGAGCTTGTGGCCGCCAGCGCCAAAGATCCTGAACACTGTCTGGCAACACTTGCTAAGATNATCTGTTTTAGTTCATTTTCACAGAAAAGGATAATGCCTCACAGAAAAGCAAACTTAGGGCGTCGTATTCGTAGCGCCATCTGTTGGACATAAAAGCCTTAACCTAGATTATATATTTTAATTTATATGAATGTTTAACGGAATAATATACAGCCTATGTCCATCCTGAGGTTCAATTCTAAATATTGGTGAAAGAATTTTTGAAATCGGATGAGTAGTTTCGGAGATTACCTGCTGTAAACAAACTTACATACATACATACTTACAAACATTACCTCTTTATAATATTAGTATAGATATAGATGAACAATTGATGAGCTCTTAAAAATTTCAGTTTTCAGGAGTATGTATTAAATAATAAACTACCATAATTATAAAATGTTATTTATTTACAAATTGTATTCTGATCACCTCATCAGACAAATCTGTAAAATATTGATTTTTAAAAAGTCTGATCACTTTATTCTAGAAATAAACCTCTCGTAATCGATTCGCTATATTTTCCTCAAAATTCATTAA